TCTAATTAGATCAGACATCTTCTGACATCCTTCCAGACATCCTTCCGGACAAAGTCATGGTGGCGGGGGCCGAGGCAGAGGCGGTTAGGGGCGATCAGGCTGGCAGGAAAGAATAGTTTGGGGCTGTGGAGAGCAGCTATAGTGTTTGGGCAGGTTATGGTCTGAACCTGTGGTCTCATGTGGCTAAGAGATATAAGCTGCTGGAGGCGTACCAAGTAAAAAAGCTTGATCAGGTGCATGTAATTGAGTAGATTTGAAACCCACAAGAAGGTTGTAACCACGACCTTACTTTGCCTCATGGAATCTGGCTATAAAATAAAGACTAGGCTTGCAGGCTGTGGCACTGCATCTCCATCAGAGAGAGCAGCATCCTACCCAGCCCCAGCTTTCTTCTCTTCTCTGTCTTTTTTTAATCCTTCACCACCTCCTCTTAAGCTCACTGAACCTGGCTGTGCTGCCGCAGCACAAGGAGCAATCAGGCCGGCAGGGGAGAGCAGTTAGGAGCAATCAGGCAGGCAGGAAGAGTGGTAAAGGGTGATCAGGCAGGCAGGCAGGTGAGAGGTTAGGAGCCAGCGGTTCTGGATTGCGAGAGGGATGTCCAACTGTCAGTTTAGGCCCGATCCCCGCAGTCAGACATCCCCTGAGGGGTCCCAGATTGGAGAGGGTGCAGGCCAGGCTGGGGGACCCCCCCCCCCCGTGCATGAATTTCGTGCACTGAGCCTCTATTAATATACAAGCAGAATGACTGCTTGACTAGTTGCTATGAGGTGCTTTGACCACCTCTTGGTCCCTCTGCCCTCCCGCCCCCCAGCCCGCAGACTCTGATCAGGCGAACTGGGAACCGTGGGGAACTGGGGTGTAGGGGCTGTGGAGAGCAGCTACAGTATTTGGGCAGGTTATGGTCTGAACCTGTGGTCCCATGTGGCTAAGTGATATAAGCTGCTGGAGGTGCACCAAGTTAAAAAGCTTGATCAGGTGCATGTATTGAGTAGATTTGAAACCCACAAGAATGTTGTAACCACGACCTTACTTTGCCTCATGGAATCTGGCTATAAAATAAAGACGAGGCTTGCAGGCTGTGGCACTGCCTCTCCATCAGAGAGAGCAGCATCCCACCCAGCCCCAGCTTTCTTCTCTTCTCTGTCTTTTCTTAATCCTTCACCGCCTCCTCTCAAGCTCACCGAACCTGGCTGTGCTGGCGCAGCACAAGGAGCAATCAGGCCGGCAGGGGAGAAGAGTTAGGAGCAATCAGGCCAGCAGGCAGAGAGGTTAGGAGCAATCAGGGTTCCTTTTTCCCCCATTCCCCTCTCCCACCCCCCTCTCACCCGAGGCCTTCACCACCTACTGTCTGTGACCTTGGGTTATGCATTTAAGCCAGTCAGAGAAAGATAAATATCACATGATCTCATATGTGGAATCTAATGATCAACATAAACTGATGAACAAAAATAGACCCAGAGACATAGATACATAGAACAGACTGTCAAACCTCAGAGGGAAGGCAGGGGAGGTTGGAGGGGGGAAGGGATCAACCAATGGATTTATGTCTTTTATCAATTTGTAAATGTTCTTTGTGATTATCTTTTCAAATATTGCATTTCTCCCATTCCCTATTTTCCCTAGACTACTTGGACTTCAATTGTATATCTATAAGACATTTTTATTCTATCTCACATATCTCTAATGTCCTTTTCTGTATTTTCCATTTTTACATTTCAATTTTATCATTTTCTATTGACTTAAGTTCCAGTTCATTCTTTAGTCTTCTCCTGTGTTTAATCTAATTTTAAACTCATCTAATGAATTTAGATTTTTTTCTGCTCTAGAATTTTCATTGAATTTTTTCTATGGATTCCAACTCTCTGTTCAAATTCTTTTTTTAACCTATCTACTACATTTTTTTCTTCTATTATTTGGAACATACTGATTATTGTAATTATAATGTTATTTTTATTTGCTTTCATAGTCAGGATAACGTGTGCTTATATTTTAGTTATCTCTCTCTTTTTCTCTTATTTTTTGATAACATATTTCTATCTTTTGCTATTTCTAGTGATTTTCTATTAAATTATGGACATTTCATTAACATTTTAAAGGTATATGGGCTTCCCCAAAAGATAGTTCATTCCTCTCACTACTAGATCTATATAGTGGAGGTTCATTCTCTTAATCCAGTGTGTCTCAGCGGGGACAAGTTTGCCCTCTAGAGGACTGCAAAATGTAGGGATACTTTTGGTGTTACAGTGGAGGAGATTCTAGTGACAGCTAGTAAATGGAAGTCAGGATTGCTGCTAAGCATTCTATAGTGCACAGGAAAACCTCTCACAGGTTGAGACATACTGCTTAATCCAAACAGAGTTTGGATTTAGGTTGATTTGCAGCCTTCGTAAGACTCAGTCTATCTCTGGCTCATCCACAGACCTCTAGGATTAAACTTGAACCCTGATGTACTCTCAGGAGTTCTGATTCACTTATGTGAAATTTAAATTTAGGAATAATGGACGTGGGCATAAAGGTAACAGAATGCAAGGCTTCCATTTTTATGGGGATATCTAGTGGTACTAAAGCAGCTCTGGAGTATTTTCAGGTGCTGTGACCCTGGAACCAGCAGGAACAAAAAAAGGACTTCTGTGTTTCTTAGCTCCAAAATTGCTATGTGAACAGTAACTCCCTATGTATACCAATTTGTTGGTAATGTCTTGAGGTTTGCTACTGGTTGCCACATCAAAGGCTACTCTTTGATGGTATTTTCATGATTTTGTAAATGCCTAATATTATTCCAATTTTAAAAATAACTAGAGTGATTTAGTTATCTGTAACCAAATAATGACTGTCTGTCACACCAAATCCTTCTCATCATTGCATTCAGGGGAGAGTGATTTAGTTATCTGTAACCAAATAATGACTGTCACACCAAATCCTTATCATCATTGCATTCAGGGTGAAAAGATTTTTGAGTAAACTCAAATTCCTCTCTAATATTTAAAAAGTAACTATTAGGAATAACCACAAAACTCTCCAAAACTTTAAAATAGAAAGTTAAATAGTTAATTCTTTTTTTAACCTATCTACTACATTTTTTTCTTCTATTATTTGGAACATACTGATTATTGTAATTATAATGTTATTTTTATTTGCTTTCATAGTCAGGATAACGTGTGCTTATATTTTAGTTATCTCTCTCTTTTTCTCTTATTTTTTGATAACATATTTCTATCTTTTGCTATTTCTAGTGATTTTCTATTAAATTATGGACATTTCATTAACATTTTAAAGGTATATGGGCTTCCCCAAAAGATAGTTCATTCCTCTCACTACTAGATCTATATAGTGGAGGTTCATTCTCTTAATCCAGTGTGTCTCAGCGGGGACAAGTTTGCCCTCTAGAGGACTGCAAAATGTAGGGATACTTTTGGTGTTACAGTGGAGGAGATTCTAGTGACAGCTAGTAAATGGAAGTCAGGATTGCTGCTAAGCATTCTATAGTGCACAGGAAAACCTCTCACAGGTTGAGACATACTGCTTAATCCAAACAGAGTTTGGATTTAGGTTGATTTGCAGCCTTCGTAAGACTCAGTCTATCTCTGGCTCATCCACAGACCTCTAGGATTAAACTTGAACCCTGATGTACTCTCAGGAGTTCTGATTCACTTATGTGAAATTTAAATTTAGGAATAATGGACGTGGGCATAAAGGTAACAGAATGCAAGGCTTCCATTTTTATGGGGATATCTAGTGGTACTAAAGCAGCTCTGGAGTATTTTCAGGTGCTGTGACCCTGGAACCAGCAGGAACAAAAAAAGGACTTCTGTGTTTCTTAGCTCCAAAATTGCTATGTGAACAGTAACTCCCTATGTATACCAATTTGTTGGTAATGTCTTGAGGTTTGCTACTGGTTGCCACATCAAAGGCTACTCTTTGATGGTATTTTCATGATTTTGTAAATGCCTAATATTATTCCAATTTTAAAAATAACTAGAGTGATTTAGTTATCTGTAACCAAATAATGACTGTCACACCAAATCCTTATCATCATTGCATTCAGGGTGAAAAGATTTTTGAGTAAACTCAAATTCCTCTCTAATATTTAAAAAGTAACTATTAGGAATAACCACAAACTCTCCAAAACTTTAAAATAGAAAGTTAAATAGTTTAATAACAGTGTCCCATGGAATATAACAGCCTTCTTTTGCTCTCTCCACTAAATTACAAAAAAGTAACTAGACCTTTAAGTGTCCATAAAAAGTACTTAATAGCATGATACTTTCTACTTAATGATATTTTGCTACATATATCCCTTTATTCAGAATCTTCAGGTTGTTGTCTAAGTCAAATAGGAAACTTTAGGTAGTGATTTTTGCTTAATGTCTTTTAATGGTTTCTCTTTAAAATTTGAATAAATTGAAATTCTTACCATCACCTGAAATACAAGATTTTGCTCATACCAACTTCTCCAATTTCATTTCCTGCCACTTTCACATTCATTAACTGCATTACAGCTACTCTATATCTCTTTATGGTCTTCAAATGTACCAAGCTCCTAAGATCTTTGTGTACTTGTACTGGTCATCATCTCTGCCCAGATATTTTTGTCTCCAGGTAATTATTGATTGTTTCTTTCAAGTCATCTGGATATCAGTTAAATACCACTCAAGACCTTGATTAGCAATCAAAAGTAAAGTTAACTATCATTTCCAGTCAAACTTTATCATAGCATTGCTTTTGATTTGTTTCAGAGCACTATCTTGTTTTAATATTATGGTGTTTTCTTTTTAGATTTAATAGTTTAATCTGTCTTTATGTACTTGAATGTAACCATAGGAGACTGCGAATCTTACCTGTCTTATTCATACAACTATAATAGTGCCTGAAAATTGAAAGTGCTTAATGAACACAATATTTGCTAAATGGTTGACTGATTCAGTGCATAATGAATACATTATTTAATTAATCAAACTGGACCTTTTCTCTTTTTTGATTTTCTCATTTTTTTGTTCCATTCAGAAAACCATGTGCTGACTCAGTAACCTCCTCATGGAAGCTTTCACTTCCTGATTGCGTAGGGTATAGATCACAGGATTCATCAAAGGAAAGATCACCGTGTGAAAGAGGGAAACCACTTTGTCAGCTGGGAAAGCTCTGAAGGGGCGAGTGTAGATGAAGATGGCAGGTCCAAACATGAGAAACACAATGATAATGTGTGTGGTGCATGTGGAGAAAGCCTTGCTCTTCCCTTCAGAGGAGTGCTCCTTTACATGGCACAGGATAACTGCATAGGAGGCCAGAAGGCCCAGGAAGCACAGGAGGGTGAGCAGGCCACTGTTGGAGACCATCAGGAGCTCCACCACAAAGGTGTCTGTGCAGGCCAGCTTGATGACCTGCGGCACATCACAGAAGAAGTTATCCAGTTGGTTTGGGCCACAGAAGGGCAAGTGGAGAATAAGGGCCACTTGTACGATGGAATGAGTAAAGCCACCTAGCCACAGAGCCAACAGCAAGGCATAGCAGGCTCGGGGGTTCAT